ATATACATACATATACATACATATACATACATATACATACATATACATACATATACATACATATACATACATATACATACATATATATATATACATATATACATATATATATATACATATGTATATATACATATGTATATATGTATATGTGTATATGTATATGTGTATGTGTATATGTGTATGTGTATGTGTATGTGTGTATGTGTATGTGTATGTGTATATGTGTATGTGTGTATGTGTATATGTGTATGTGTATATGTGTATGTGTGTATGTGTATGTATATGTGTATATGTGTATATGTGTATATGTGTATGTGTGTATATGTATATGTGTATATGTATATGTGTATGTGTATATGTATATGTGTATATGTATATGTGTATATGTATATATGTGTATGTGTATATATGTGTATATGTATATGTGTATATGTATATATGTGTATATGTATATATGTATATATGTGTATATGTATATATGTGTATATGTATATGTGTATATGTATATGTGTATATGTATATGTGTATATGTATATGTGTATATGTGTATATGTATATGTCTATATGTATATATGTGTGTGTATATGTGTGTGTATATATGTGTGTGTATATATGTGTGTGTATATATGTGTGTGTATATATGTGTGTGTATATATGTGTGTATATATGTGTGTATATATGTGTGTATATATGTGTGTATATATGTATATGTATATGTGTATATGTGTATATGTATATGTCTATATGTATATATGTGTGTGTATATGTGTGTGTATATATGTGTGTGTATATATGTGTGTATATACGTGTGTATATATGTGTGTATATACGTGTGTATATATGTATATGTATATATACGTATGTATATATACGTATGTATATATACGTATGTATATATACGTATGTATATATACGTATGTATATATACGTATGTATATATACGTATGTATATATACGTATGTATATATACGTATGTATATATACGTATGTATATATACGTATGTATATATACGTATGTATATATACGTATGTATATATACGTATGTATATATACGTATGTATATATACGTATGTATATATACATATATATATACATATATATATATATATATATATATATATATATATATATATATATATATATATATATACATATATATATATATATATATATACATTTATATACATATATAGATAGATATATGTGCAATATAAAAATTGTTTAAGTAATAATTAATAAAATTGATGATGGGTTATGTTGGTTATGCACATTATAGAATGATTGAAAATATACCTTTTGGTATACAACTGAATGGAGGATGAAAGCCATGTTGAGAAATAAAATGTCTTGATCTCTCTGAAGCTCTGTGCCACAAATAATAAGCTTGACTATTATTCATTTGAATTTTTTTCATTTCAAAGCGCTTGAAAAGGTCTTTATTCTGAATACGCTCAATCTATATATAACAAAATAAAATTATATATATATATATATATATATATATATATATATATATATATATATATATATATATATATATATATATATATATATATATATATATATATATTGACTGAAGTATTTTCTTAACTAAAATAATTTGTACAACAACCATATTAGCTGAGAGATAATAGCAAGAATTAATAGGAGCCTTTTTGTTAGGTGTTATATTGACTGGGTTAATTTGTCACTAGTGTCATGACAATGTTATCAGGAACAGTTTATCATTGGCAGCTTTGATGTCACACATACCATTATATGCTTGAATATGAAACTTAAGTATCCAATTTTTCACTCATTGTGGTGTTAATACTTATTGTTAAAATTGTTAAAACAATGTTATATATCATTATTTTCTTTTTATATTAAGTGCTAGTTTTAAATAAGTCATCATAACACTTAACTTACTTTCCATATGCTTATTTTATAAGCACTTGTTGAAAAATCTTCTTGGAGCTTTGTTTCAATATTTTTATATTCATCTTGGTTGTTATCTATTCTTAACAACTTATGATTTTCATTATACATTGGTGTCCAAACTAATGGTGTTGGTAGTTTTTCTTTTATATCTGTGGAAAGATTATCTAAAGTATAATAAGCTTAATAAATATAATAACTTTAATGTACCTATGTATTTGCAACAAAGCATGGTCTTTCATTTAAGTGAAGGTTTAACTTAACAGCTTTAACTAAATGCACACAAAATCAGTTAACAAGCACACATTTTAGGCAAATATGTCTTTTTACATAAATTGCTAAGTATATGTTTGTGCATTTTAGTTGTTTAAGCTTGATATCAAAACTGGTACTACTAATAAATAATAATTACTTTTCTGTTTGCTACATCCCTTCCCCAATACAACAACAATACATGACCAAAAATCTTCTTCCTAGTTCACTTCTCATGTTCTAGAACAATCTCTTAACCATTCCACTTTCACAATAATTAATTAATTATCTTTGGAAAAGCTTCTTACTTTCAAATATTTCATTTCTAATTATTGCTTTTTTACAATAATTAACAGTTGTTGTCCAATCAGTGAAATTTATCTCCTTGAAAGGTGCAGTTTCTATTTCATTTAATCCAAATTTGCCTTGAATAAAAGCCTTTTCTATCATTTTGTTTAAATTTGGTTCAAAACTCTGAAAATAGTATGTGCTTGCATTTGTTTGGTACTTCCATTGAAAGGATAAAGTAGATGATGATGGTGCAACATCTGCAGAAAATGTACTTGTAAAAGAATGGCTTTTGGTTGTAAGTTCTGTATTTATTGAAACAGCTTCAGCACTTTGGATGGAAGTTTGATTTATGCTTAATTGCGAGAAATATTTTAAAGATGTGTCCAGTTCTAAATCATGAGTAATCTTCTTTTTAAATTCTTTAACAACAGTGTGATTTAACCCTTGAATTCTTATAGTTGAGCAGAATAAATTTCTGTCTTCTTTTACACTTTTGCAAGGATGAGGATTAGAGCTTTGAAAATAGTGTTTCTCCAATATTACAGACACTAACATTTCTATTGACTGTTTCATAATTACCTGAAAATAAAATTAGATGTATTAAGAACAAAATCAAACAACAATGAATACTTAACTCATTCACAAAATATGTGTTACTACAACAACGCCTATCTATGTATATAAGATTGTAAATTATGGCTGCTGTGGGTGTGACTGTCTTTTATGAACTAATACTTTCATCCAATTGCTATGAAACTTTGGGAAGTGGGAAAAATCCTCCTAGGAAGGTTTCTGCAAAAAATTAAATTTTGAAGAGGCAGCACCCCAGCAGCTATCTTAGCACCTGGGATCCATTGATTAGATGTCCTTCAGGGATCAGGGGTACTACTTGATTCAGTGATTCTACTTGATTCAGGGATTCTACTTGATTCAGGGATTCTACTTGATTCAGGGGTACTACTTGATTCAGGGATTCTACTTGATTCAGGGGTACTACTTGATTCAGGGATTCTACTTGATTCAGGGATTCTACTTGATTCAGGGATTCTACTTGATTCAGGGGTACTACTTGATTCAGGGATTCTACTTGATTCAGGGATTCTACTTGATTCAGGGATTCTACTTGATTCAGGGGTACTACTTGATTCAGGGGTACTACTTGATTCAGTGATTCTACTTGATTCAGGGATTCTACTTGATTCAGGGATTCTACTTGATTCAGGGATTCTACTTGATTCAGGGGTACTACTTGATTCAGGGATTCTACTTGATTCAGGGATTCTACTTGATTCAGGGATTCTACTTGATTCAGGGGTACTACTTGATTCAGGGGTACTACTTGATTCAGGGATTCTACTTGATTCAGGGATTCTACTTGATTCAGGGGTACTACTTGATTCAGGGGTTCTACTTGATTCAGGGATTCTACTTGATTCAGGGGTACTACTTGATTCAGGGATTCTACTTGATTCAGGGATTCTACTTGATTCAGGGGTACTACTTGATTCAGGGATTCTACTTGATTCAGGGGTACTACTTGATTCAGGGATTCTACTTGATTCAGGGATTCTACTTGATTCAGGGGTACTACTTGATTCAGGGATTCTACTTGATTCAGGGGTACCACTCTATTGAGGGATTCTACTTGATTCAGGGATTCTACTTGATTCAGGGATTCTACTTGATTCAGGGATTCTACTTGATTCAGGGGTACTACTTGATTCAGGGGTACCACTCTATTGAGGGATTCTACTTGATTCAGGGATTCTACTTGATTCAGGGATTCTACTTGATTCAGGGATTCTACTTGATTCAGGGGTACTACTTGATTCAGGGATTCTACTTGATTCAGGGGTACTACTTGATTCAGGGATTCTACTTGATTCAAGGATTCTACTTGATTCAGGGGTACTACTTGATTCAGGGATTCTACTTGATTCAGGGGTACTACTTGATTCAGGGATTCTACTTGATTCAGGGATTCTACTTGATTCAGGGGTACTACTTGATTCAGGGGTTCTACTTGATTCAGGGATTCTACTTGATTCAGGGATTCTACTTGATTCAGGGGTACTACTTGATTCAGGGGTACTACTTGATTCAGGGATTCTACTTGATTCAGGGGTACTACTTGATTCAGGGATTCTACTTGATTCAGGGATTCTACTTGATTCAGGGATTCTACTTGATTCAGGGGTACTACTTGATTCAGGGATTCTACTTGATTCAGGGATTCTACTTGATTCAGGGGTACTACTTGATTCAGGGATTCTACTTGATTCAGGGGTACTACTTGATTCAGGGGTACTACTTGATTCAGGGATTCTACTTGATTCAGGGATTCTACTTGATTCAGGGGTACTACTTAATTCAACGACGTCACAGAAACAGGTGAACTCTACTTCACTTGCCCCATGAATTGTGAGTTTCAAAAAAGGAACATTACTTATTATTATTTATTACTTGATTCAATTTTCAAACTGTACCTGGTGCATCAACCAGCACTCCTTGTGGTCAGGTGATGTAGAGTACCCTCTGCTCCTCATGAGCGCTATGGTGCTTACCATTCATTTTAAAAAGCCACCTTTACTAAAATGCATGGCTAAATCTAATTAGGATTGTGATCCAGTGCCCCTGTGATGGTTTACAGTTGGGCGTCCTGCACAGGTGATCAGGCGTGCTATTTGACTAAACTGTCAAACTGCAACAGGTGTGGCCCTGCAATGTGTGATCTGAAGCACCCCAAACTTCCCTGTGAGCACTATAATGCTTACATTTCTTTTAAATTTTTAATAGCACCTTACACTAGGGACATGGTAGGCCACTACATTTGATAACTAAGCCAAACAAGGTATTGCACCCTATAGTAGTGTGACTAGTTTTTCTAGCGAGAGCCCCGCAACAGTTTTAATACTTGGGGGTCACTTAGGTGTTTTCTGCCTCACTATTATGGAGGGTGACTAATACACACTCAAGGCTTTCATACATCTGGGCAGTAGTGTGGACTAATGCGCCACAACAACTAAGGTTTAAGAAATAGTGTTTGCATTTCAAGGTCACACGTCTAATATACAAGACTTGAAACACATTCATGATACCCTTATAAAATGTTTAGTCACATGGTGAGACGGTCTAGATCACAGCATAATGCAAGAGGTATGCTCGTTTTCAAAATAGTAGGTACCAATAGTTGAAAGTAGAAATGAAATAAAGAAGCAAAAATGAAATGAACAGAAATAATTTGTTTAGCACAAGCAAAAAATTATTATTCTTTGATACCTTTAAAAATTTAGCATGCACTGAAGTATCCAAATTTTTCAAGTGCATAGTTTTTACATATCATTCTTTATATGTTTGTATTTCCAGTTTCTGATTATAATTTTTAGGGCTGCTTTAGTACTTTGTGATTTAAAATTGTATTATAATCCTAAAAACTAACAACAAACTAATAAGATTTATGCAAAGATATCTAAAACATTAAGATTAGGCAATAAATACTTTGTATCTTTGGAAAGAGATATGTGCTGGCAATACCTCAAATTTTAAAGTTTGTTGTTGATTAAGTTGTAGTATATCTGTATTCTTGTTCAGCAAGTGATTGAGCTCCTTTTCCAAATTTTTAGCAGCTTGATAACAGTTTTCTTGTGATAAACTCGAAATAGTAACTGAAGAATCATTGGCTCTGGTTTTCCAGATATATGCTTCATTTTCTATGTAAAATTACAAAAGAATAATGGTCAACAAGACACATAAGAAAATGTTTTTAAAAAAACAACTTTAAGTAGGTCTAAACTATTGAAGGAAGGGGAAGAGGTTAGTTAAATACAAATTTGTGTTCACTGTTTACAGTTATAGAGAATTTATTTATATAAAGTGAGAAAATAGAAGCAATCTTTACAGACTATAGATTTGCAGTCTTCCTACAATTAACCACTCTTGGACAAGACAATGATAATCTTAAAATATAAAATAAGCTGCTTTGCTTTGTTACTGGAGCACCTGAAAGTTACAATTAACATGCATTCTTTATCTAGTCCCAATGATCAAAAACTTAGTTCTGAGATGGAAATAGATTTAGTAAGCTCTAGAAAGTAGTAGAATTGTGTAAATTAGCCTAATTGGCAGACCAGGTAATATTTTTAAAACTAGTACCTTTATTTTCTGAGGTCCAAACAAAAGTATCTGTAAAATGAAAGGATAAAATGAAAACATTTCAATCTTCTTCTTCTTCTTCGTTCTTAATTTTAGTGTTCAAAGGGATCCCCTCCAACACAATTAAGGAAACATGTCAACTGGTTATGCGCCATTGAGGCCATTGACTTTGATCTCAGCCTGCTTTTCTTGGGGACGGTAATAAGTTGTGTTTTATTTGCAAACAATAAATTACATTTTTATATAATAGTCTTGTATTATTTGAAGTGCAGCAGTTGTTTGATTTTGGAGTTGTCTCTCCTAGAAAAGTGGCTGTTCCCAGCTAATGAGCCTCATCTGCCGAGAACATTTCAATGATATAAGGGCTAAAACATATACTTTATATGACAAATCCTTTAATGTTTAAATAAGTTCAACGTTATGAATGCAACTTGGATCATTTCTTGTTTAAAAAGATGCTTATAACAAAAACTAAAATTAAACACTTACTAATAAAGCGCTCAAATAAAGATTTAGGTACTGTTTTGGGGGGATAACGTCTCTTCAATTCACTTTCAAAACACTACGACAAAAAAGAAGTTTATTAATTATCATATATGTAATTAAAATTTTATATAGCTACTTGTCACCTATTAAAATTTAAAATGACAAAAAGGCCAATACATGAGGTTTTAAATACTTTAATAAATTTTTAAAAATAAATTTGGATAGTCTTAGCTTAATGACATTTTAATGCAGTATTGTTTAAAGATGAATAATTAATTTTATACATATATATTTAAATATAATAACTATATTTTATTGAGAAATCATAGCTACAGCAAATAACTAACTTCTCTATAATCAGAATTTTGGACAATTAATGCAATCCTCCTTTGTTTGTGTAGTTTTTTTGTCTCAAGTAAGGTATCAATTTCCTTAAATACTGCTTGTGAATAATATTTTTTTGGAAATTTTGATGCACCATGCATGCCAGGTAGAACAATGTGAACAGCATCAAATTCATTGGAAGCTAAAATGCAATTTGTGAGTGAAGTTTGGATCATCTGAAATGGAGTATTATTAAGTTGACTGACAAAACACACATTTTAAAAAAATAAGTTAAATAAATATTTTAAAAAAGTATCATACATATCAAAATGTTAAAGTTAGTGTGAAGATCTTTTTACACCTGTTGGTTTCACTAAAAACAATCACAAATCGCTTCCATAAAAACTACATAGTATGTAATTTAATTTTAATGCTAAAATAACAATAATATAACAATGTCATTAACAAATTTGAATTTTGAAAATTATTATTCAGAATAATATTTCAATAGGAGATTTTCCCACATGTTGTCATAAGTAGATAGACAATTGAGTGTTATTGTGGAATGATAGACAGACACAGTGCAAAAAATTATTATTATACATCTTGAAAACAAATCAACTATGGAAGCTTACCTTATCACAGTCTAATCCCCAGGGAGAGGAACAAAAGACTGCCACATCTTTCTTGTAAGGAAAGCTATTCACACGATGCATTTCACCTATCAATAGCCCATCTGGAAATTCATCTGTTATTTTTTGTAAAGACTCTGATAGTATTTTTTTTATACTTTGATGCTCATCACAAGCTGGACATGTTTCAGCCTCAAGACTTTGATCGACAGGATAGCAAAACAAAGTCTTTTCATCCTGTTTAAAATGAATGTAGGAATACATTTGCCCTTCAATCCTTAGATTATTCTCTCCACATATCTCACATGAATACCTAACATTTCAATTTTAGATTGTAGTAAGTGTTTAAGTTTCATGTGTAGGCTTATCCATCAGATTACTTATTTATATCAAACATGTATTTTACCTAACTGAAACTCTTTTCTTTTTACTTACAGCATTTGCATGGTTGATGGTACGTACTTCTACCATGGCATCGTAATTATGATAATTGTCATACCTGCTTAACTCTATTTTAAAAGAAATAATACATTATTTAGGAAAAAATAATAACTACTGTAATGTACAAGATAATAATGTGATATAGATGTGCAATTAAAAAACTGATGTTCCAACCTCTCATTTTGACACACATTAGATCTAAATTAAGCTTTGGTGTGTTAAAGATATATCATGAGCAATCATTACTCTATCTGAAAAATTATATTAAGCTTTATCTTCATAATTTTAGTGTTTATAAGCTTTGATTATAGAAGCTTGTCATACATGTTGTATTTTCTGTTTCTTCTATAGGAATTAAAAAAATATAACAGTAAGTTGATATTTTAAGCTTAGAAAAAAATAAGTAACATATTTATTCTTTCCATTTGTTCTTTATTAACTAAATTGCCATTGTACTTGACTAAAAATGTTTGCTTTAAAACTCAAACAGTAACATACAATCAATTAAATCTAAATAAATATCAACTGCCCAATATTAGTATGTCCTGGCTCTTAGATTTGTAAAAAACATTTGATGTCAGCATTAGTTCCCCTGAATGCTCTTCTTCTTCTTCATTCTTAATTTTTAGTGTTGGAGGGGATCGAGCCTTATCTGCCAGAGACTTTTTCAAATTTATCAACCATTAGCTTTAGCCGACTCGACCACGCCTCCATCACAATTAAGGATACGTGTCAACTGGTTATGTGCCATTGAGGCCATTGACTACGATTTCAGCCTGCTTTTTTTTTTGGATTTGCTTCCATAGCCTTTGTCCAACCAAAAACAAAATACAAGGCAGCAGTTGTATGATTTTGGAGTTGTCTCTCCTAGAAGAGTGGCTGTCCCCAGCTAGCGAGCCTCATCTACCCGAGGGTTTGAACTCGAGAGTTTTTGGTTTAGCAGCCATGAGCTTTACCGACTCGACCACGTCGACCCCTCCCTGAATGATCAAATGATGGCTACCACATAATCTCCTCTTTCATTTTTGAACATACCATTCTATAATGATAAATATTATTTTAGATAATAAATAAATATTCTTGCATGGTTAATAAAGATTAACTATCCAGAAAGTTTTCCCCAACAAACACCACAGACTCAGAGTTTCTTCCTTCCCCCCCCCCCCCCCCCAACGAATTGGTAATGGAATTTGTATAGAAAACATATACTTTTATACTTTTACCAGTGTCCAACCCCCCCTCCCCAGAAAAAAAAGTCTGGAAGAAATACTGCACAGACTATGTAAAGAAAAAAAAACTGAAACAGAATGATTATTTGCAGACACATTGTATGCACCAAAAATGCATTATATATTTAAAAGTAATTTTTAAACAACTTAAAGAAGTTAATTTTTTAAACAAGAGTTTCAACTTACCTTGGGGACAAACATTATCCCAGCTTGCTTGATCTGGCTCTTCTATTTTTCCATTGTAAATGGTAATAAAATAATCAAAGGCTTTAAAAACAGCATTGCATTCTGGCTCTATTACATATACATCAACTGAATTCAAACTCCTCTCTTCAGATAGTTCACGTTGTGAGTATCTAGCAAGTTCAAATGAGTTCACAAGCTCTGATACCAGTACTTCAGCAATACAATCTAGTGGAAATGCAAACTCTGCATGATGTATTTTTTCGGTTGAAAATCCAATTTTACGACAGTTTGTTTGTTTTGCTTGTTCTAACACAAGCTTGACAGCATCTCTTAAGCTAAACCTTAGGTTAGCAAAGTGTTCTTTGTTTGTTTTTACATGACAAGACTTCCATTCTGGCAACATTATCTCCAGTTGAAGAGATGTTTCCCCCTGTTTGATGACTGATTTTTTATCTGAAAAGTTTAATGAAAAATCTCTATTCAAAGTTGAGGCCTTTTTTAAACTTATAAGATTTATATGGGAAGATGTAATATTTAATACATTTCTTCTAGCTAGTTGAATTTAGCAAAATTAGTTCAGATAAACTGAAGTCTTAAAGCCTTTTATGTTAAATACTAGACTTATCATCTCAAATAAGATTGAAAATAATAAAATGATTGATAATATTTTAATCACTGTCTGTAATATATATATATATATATATATATATATATATATATATATATATATATATATATATATATATATATATATATATATATATATATATATATATATTTATATGAATTACCTTGTTTTGATGGAGTAAATTCAACTGTCATATTGTGTTCCATGTCCCCTATCTTGCCTTGAGTGAGATGAATATTAAAACCTTCAAATCTAGCTGAATGAAGCAACAAAACTGTGTAATCTATTCTTACTGTCTCTTTTTCTACAGCTTCTAGTCTAGGAGAATTTTTAGACCTTATATTTGAAAATTCAACCATACATTTGAATTTTTTTGAAATATCATCTTTAATTGATGAACCTTCTGGAGATGCAATGAATGTCAGCAGACCAGGAAAAGACAAACATTTGTTCTGGATATTAATTCTTTCAATTAGAGATTTAATTTCTATGCAAGCCAAACTCACATTCTGTGTACTGCCTTCAATATGAATGGCACCATCAAAAAACCTCAAACTCGAACAGTTAAAAGTTTTTTTTATTTTACAAAATTCATCCATTAAAAATCTTCTGCTATATTCATATTTTTTTTCATCTATTTGTAAAGACTTTGTTTCAATTTTTAATTTAGCATTAGCAGACACTTTGTTTGAGTCTTTACTAATAGTTCTCTCCTTGCTAGAATCTTTTAGTGTATTAGAGCTATCATTTTTAAATTTGAGTTCATGTATACTTTCTTTAATTTTTTCAACAATAGAGGCAGTCAAGTCTTCATTCCCTGGTACTGTTAGAAGTTTGATTTTTGAGTCTTCCATAATTACATGTATAGGAGAATTAAGAGATTCTGCTTTGACTACTGATTCCACAAATGGAATCCATTGATCATAGCTTTTTGAGGGTTCGTCTAGAAAAAATGAGCAATCTAGTTTCACTAAAATTTTTAACAGGAACTCTCTGAAAATAATCTGAAAATAATGTAAAGTGAAATATATTTAATTGTTTTAATTGTCATTTTTAGAAACAGCAAAAGAGATATGATAAGCTTAAATAATAAGCTTACTTATGAGAAAAGAAATTAGTAATAATCCATAGCTTATGTATATTAAATTTAAACTGTTCTTTGCATTCATAAAGTGTATTATTTATTTGTTTACCTTTTCTCCTCTTTTAGTCTCAATAAATACAGCTGTTTTTTCTCCTATATTGAACTCAAAATGGCACTTATTCTTTTCAAATAGTGATTTTAGGCTCATTCTAACAGTTTCATCTTTAAGAAATTGTTTCTCTTCTTTGCTGACCTAAATGAAAATGAAATAAATAATAAATTGCAAAAAACAATTAGTTAATTAAAAAAAAACAATTAATTACTTAAGCAATTGCAGAAATAAAATAGATACATTTATTTCTTTATTTGTTTCAAGCAACATAAATTGAAATAATATAAAACACATGAGATGGACAAACAGAGAAACAAAGTGAGAACTGATGCTTGTAATTTTTTGTAACAGATATGATCAGCATAAAGTAGACTAAAGAGAAAAATGATACAATAAAAGCATGCAGAAAGATTAAAAGGGAAAGGAAAACATGCTGAACCCAGAATTACTTATTCTGGGGATAAAGGAAGACGAATTTAGGAGAATAAAATAAATTCCATAAGTTTTAAGAAAGATAGATGAAGCATAAAACAAATGTATAGCAAGAAAAATAAATATCATAAGTTGAGCAGCAACATTAATGAAACAGATTTATAACTAACATAAATAATATTCTGGTTTTCTTTACCTCAACACTACATGCAGTAATTATCAACTGAATTTCCTTAGTGCCTTCTCTAGTGCTCGTGATCTTCATTTGGTTTTCTTTTTCATTAAAATAAATCATCCCTTGAAAATGTTTATTCACAGCTTTATCAAAGTGTAGAACTTTAAACAGCCAAATTAGGTCACTTGAACAAATTGTTTTAATTTCCTTTTCAACATCCCTTTCTTCCAGATTCTCCAACCCTATTCCCTTTTTAATAACTTCTATTAAAAAGTTTAATTCAGATCTATATGGTGACAAATACATCAAGTAAACTGAGTTGTCATGTATATAAACTTGACTAAATCCGTAAGTCCTGTTGAATGACTTTTTAAATGCTTCCCATTCTTTACCATACTGGTAGTCTTTACTAGTTAGTTTAACAACTGGCTGTGTTTTTAAAAGAGATTTCATAAACTTGTTGAAAGGCATCTGTAAAAATGAAAGAAAAAATATGATATTTAAGTGTTTTGTAAAAATAAAACTCTTGCAAACTAATATGATTTTAAGTCAGCTTAATGTTTCACATTAAAAATTTGCTAAGAATTTAGATTGCTCATTAATTAAAACTTAACTTTTCTATAAAAAAAAATAATGAAATTAATATAAAGTATTTTAAATTATTTTTTAAAAACCTATAAATTTGATATTTTAAAGAAGAGTAGCAAAAGTGTTTTTTTTTTACTTCTTTTTCTATTTTATTTTTAATAGTGATGACAAGATTTTCTTCATCAGCAAAAGCTATGCAAAGTCCAGAATTTTGGAAATGTTGTTTTAACTGTGCTTCAACACGTTTTCTGCAGAAAAATGCCAGTGCACGTGGAGAGAGCTGATTCTGGAACAAATAGTTGTTTCTCATTATAAAATAATCATTTTAATTGAAACGCTATTTATCATCATATGCATTTTTTATTTAATAAGATGTATACATACCTCTGGATTCTCTAAAGAAGCCATTAATTTATAAAGCTGTTTAACTTTATCTCTTTGTCCTCTGAAAGTAAACAACCAGCTATCACTGCTCGCCGTAATTTCTATTTCCACTTTCAGATCTCTTACAGCTGATTCAAACTCTAAGTTAAGCAACAAAAATGCTACTAATTTATTTTTCAAGTCAAATCTTTTAGTATAATTTTTTTCTTTTGAATCTTGTTTTGTTACATTTGTTGTAGATGAATCTGATGCAAGTTCTGACTGAATTGTTTTTAGAGATACAAGTTGCAAGCCTTTTTGTAATCTTTTATACTGTTCATCTGCTGGTTCCTTAAAGCAATCAAAAAATGGCCAAACATCAATCTTTTTCTTTTCAGCTATCCACTCACTTTGACAAGCTAAAAAAACTGAGTCTGAAAAAGATGAAATTATGAATGCATAACAGTTATTTTATTTTTTAAACTGGAATTAAAATTTAAAGGCATTTTCAAGTTAACTATGGATATAATGAATAAGAGATAAAGAGCTTTTAGATATTACCGTAAGATAATATGGTCAAAATAATACTTAAATTCAGGCTAAATATATGAAAAAATATGTCATTGAAAAATTGGAAACAGGCTATGGCTTGGGTCTCATTTTCTGTCTGATGAATATAGGACAAAAATAACCAACATCACATTAAAAGCAAGCTATTAGACCATTTAAAGGGAAAGATGCACCACATGAATTATTCCATGCGTGGATGGTCCATAAGGTGCATTACTGTTAGAGGAGGTGGACAGCTAGAATGAAATTTATCTCAGATTCAGTTATGGCTATTGGTAAAAGTACACTTGTATTGCTTTATGCTTACAATTGTAAACTTTTGAATAACATAAAACAAAAACATTTTCATTCTTGTCATAAATTTTTGTTCAATGGAAAGTTTATTTTTTAAAGTCTCACCAGAACGTCTGCAAAAGTTTTCACCTTTAGGTATAAAAGCAGATGATGAAAGATTTTACTATTTCAAAATACAAAAATACTAATTTTTAAAGAAGACATATTTTCTTAAAGTTTTTTTTAAACTAGTTTTTCCTTTTTCAACCATAGAGAATATCCCATGCCAATTTTATTGCTTAATTATTTATGTATAAAAGAAGAAACATATTTGTAATGGACTTTAAATGAGTCATTAACAGTAGCTTACCCCATCCATTTTCAAAAATGATTTCGAACACGCCACCTGTCATATCTACAACTTGTTTCACTTGACCACAGTTGTATTTCTTTGAACTAAACAGCATTCTTAGCTTATCTACTGCAGCAGATGTAAATGCACCATATGTATGAACAAATACACTATTAGTGGGGTTAGCCTTCTCAAGAAAAATTTGATTGTCTTCCAAAGTGAACTGTCTTCTCTCCATTTTAGATTGAATTCTTTCATAATCTATAGGAAAATTTGAAAAAAAAGTAGTGTAAGTTAAAGTAGATCTACCTTTTTCCTCTTTCTTCTTGGTTCTTTATTGTAATATTGGAGAGGGTTTACTTTAACACAATTAAGTCTTACGTGTCGACATGGTGTGAGCAGTATGGCTCATTGACTCAGACCAACCTGCTTTTCTTATTACATTTTTAACAACTGTTTTTTTTTTATAGTTTTTATTGCAATTTATCTGGCTCCTATTTATCTATTGCACTAAGTTATAGTCCACAACACAAATAAAAAAGTTATATTTCTGTTCTTTTTTAGCCTATATTTCTAATAAATTACACTGATCAATTGTGATTTTGTAGCTTATAAAAAGTGAAGGTATTAAACATACCTATGACATTTTCAAATAATGCTACAGCTCTTGCTTCTTGTCTGGGATCCATCCACAAATCTTTTAATTGTTCATGGCTAAAACATTTCTCTATAAAGCCATGTAGTTGAATTGACTCAGTATTCTCAGGAAGTCCAGTGAAAAGCAATAATTTGTCCATTTCTTACAGTAAAAGAAATTATTGTTAATAAAATGCAGATTATTTTTAAGGTTGCTAGCAGGGCGCTATTGGATAAAGTCATGTCTCTTTTTTGTATTGTTATCATTGCTTATGTTTGAGCCAAGTATAGAGCTGGGCTATTTTTAGTTTCCATACTTATATATAATATAAGTAGGCTACCAAAAGCAGTAGGCTTACTTTTATTATGGTTGGCAGTGCCATATTCAAGTGTTTTTTTTTATATACTACTAATGTGGCCCATGTGGGACAGAGTGGTCTAGCGGTAGAGAGCTGGACTGCTAACCCGTAAGTCTTGAGTTCGAATCCAGGTTCAAGACAGTAGATCATCCCTGAGTCCACCCAACTCACGTTAGGGAAAGTAAAGGCGGCTGGGCATAATGCTGACCACACTATCTCTACATATACCGAGGTCACAGAAACAAGTGAACCCTACTTCACTTGCCCTATAGACCGTCAGGTTTGATAGGGAACTTTACTTTTACTAATGTGGCCCAATCCTGTCTTTTAATTGAGCCTTGGCCCTTAATTAAACATTGATAACAAATTTTTAAATACATCTTAACATAGTAGGCTTAGAACCAAAAGTCATAGGCGCAGGACTTCTTCTTCTTCGTTCTTAATTTTTAGTGTTGGGATGGATCGAGCCTTATCTGCCAGAGGGTTTGAACTCGAGACTTTTTTCGAATTTATCAACCATGAGCTTTTTGCCAACTTGACCATGCTTCCATCACAATTAAGGATTACGTGTCAACTGGTTTTGCACCATTGAGGCCATTGACTCTGATTTCAGCCTGCTTTTCTTTTTGGATTTGCTTCCATAGCCTTTGTCCAACCAAGAACAAACAACAAGGCAGAAGTTGTTTGATTTTGGAGTTGTCTCTCCTAGAAGAGTGGCTGTCCCCAGCTAATGAGCCTCATCTACCCGAGGGTTCGAACTCGAGACTTTTCAGTTTAGCAAAGGCGCAGGACAACATAAGATTTAAAAATATAAAAATTTATAATTTGTAATTACATGATAATTTTTTAAATAGAAAAATTTAATGAAAGGACATCTTCTAAATCCAAAATAATATAAAATCGTAGCATAGTGTAAACTAAACATAATATGCAAAAATATTATTAGTGTAGCGTAAATAAAATACTTTATTTTTGTCTATGTTTGTCTTTAAATCCCATAAGCTAAAAAGTAATAATAAAACACAATATTACATATCTAAAATTGTCACCACATTTTTTTTTCCAGTGATTATTCATATCATGTCAAAGCAGCTTTGAAATAAGAAAGGATATATCAAAACGGGATGATGGGAAGATAGTTAGGATTCACTTAGGAGAGACCAAGAAGATTATTGCAACCGTTTATCAATGTGTGTGTGTGTTTGTTTGTTTGTCTGTCTTTTATGTATTACTACACCTCTCATCACATTGTGAAACTTTGGAAAATTGTTGAGAATATTTCTGGGGAGGTTTCTGCGGAATTTTTTTTTTCAAATTCGCATGGGTGGCGCTCGGCAGGGCGCGATTTGTTTTTTCTCTATATATGGTATAAATAAATAAAAGTCGATTGTGGTTTCACACCGTTCATCCGATCGCCATCAAACTTTGGGGAGCTAAATAGAATACTGCAAGGAAGGGTTCTGCAAAAAAATCTTTTTTATTTTTGCAAGGGTGGCGCCCCGGGAGGATTGTGGTTTTTCTCTATATACAAAATATAAAAAATAAAAGTCAAATGCGGTCTGACACCGTTTATTCGATCGCTATGAAACTTTGGGGAGTTGATAAGAACACTCCAGGGGAGGTTTCTGTAAAACAATCTTTTTTAATGTCACAAGGTGGCGCCCCGGGAGGGTGCGATTCTTCTCTATATACGGTATATTAAAAAAAATGAAAGTCAGATACAGTTCGACAACTTTCATCCAAGTGCTATAAAACTTTAAGGAGTTGATGAGAATACTCCCTGGAAGGTTTCTGTTAACAAAATAATTATAGCGAGCTGACCCACAGCGTATCATACACCGCTATTTAGTTGTTTTATTTTCTACTTTTCAGTACGTCATAGTTAGTGAATTTGACACTACCCTCCCTTCCATTTAACCACCCTCCCCCCACCCTTATGAAAGCAGCCGTCTGTAATAAAAAGATCAAGCAGAACTTCTTACCATCCCTTATTTCAAATCGTTTAAAAGCTAAATTACCTGCCCCTAATAGCTCTTACTGATTCGACCATCTCTATGATTGTAAACATTCGGGGTGAACCTTAACTCACCAGAATGGTGGGGGTGGTAGCTTTATGCCTAGAGAGCAGGGGAGTAACGGCGTGCGTTTACATGGTGAAGTCTCGCATGGTCCCCATGAAGAGAATTTTATATAGATTTGATATGAGCGGCACCCGGGAGGGTGCAATTTTTGTCAATACACAATTTGGCACCAAGAGTTCCAGAGCGGCTAAGTTAGCACTTGGCATCCGTTAATCGTGCGTCCTGCATAGTGTTGTGAGGGATACTACTATATTCAGTGTTAAAACTTCAACAGGCGCAACTGCCAGCGCCCCGTAGATTGCACTACCCGAAGCGCCCCGGTTTTTTCCTGTGAGCACTATGGTGCCTCTGCAGTAGTGTAATTGGGGGCTCCCAAGAGCGCCCCCTCTATGTCCCTGACACATGGGCGGTCACCGAAGTGTGTTCTACCTCATTATTTCGGTGAGTGATTAACATACACTCAAGATTTCCATGCGGAAGTGTAGGTAAACCAGTGTCCCAATTTTACGATCCAAGCTCAGGAATTGTTTACATTTTAAAAACTCAGGTTTAGAAAACAAGGTCATGCGTCTAAGAACATAGAATTGGTAACGCATTCATAAAACCATACTTATATATTTTGTCAGATTTTCTTCTATCCCCGCTGCAACTCGAAGGGACGGGTACACTAGTTTATGATATAAGAATTGGGTTTCATTATTAATCATTATAATATAATTGATTATATTTAGACTGACAGGCCTAGGGGGTCATCCATAAATGACGTCACACTTTTTTTGACGATTTTTACCTCCCCCCTCCCCTCTGTCACACGTCGTCACAAAATGCCAGACCCCCACCCCTAAAATGACGTCACACCTCTACCTACAACCCCCCTCAAAATTGCAGTTGAATTTTTTTAAAACATCGATATTTTTCCAAAATCTTGTCTAAACTATTACAATTTATTAAAACCGTTATCTAAAACGCGAAATAACGTCTAAAATTAGTTTTCTAACATTGCTTTTTTATAATGCAAAAATGTGTCGTCGCAACATCTGAACCCCCCCACCCCTCATCACACATCGTCACAAAATTACGGACCCCCCCTCCCCCCTACGAGTGTGAAGTCATTTATGGATGACCCCTAGGCCTATCTATTAGTAATATTAGTATCTATTATATATATCAATTACTATATAGTAGCATAGGCCTATAATATAATAAATATATGTGCCACGTACTGTAGCTAAATGAATATGAATATTATACTGATTCAACTTAGCAACTTCTTAGACTAGTGTTTTGTAAGATTAGGTCGGGACTGATTAGATTAGGTTGTTTTTTTTTTAAACAACAAACGTCAAAATTCAAAATGTTAAGTTAAAAATAATTTTAAAATAAGTTTAGCCTTCTTAGCCTTAGCCTACATAAAAAAACATAAACATCTGTAGATCTACATCTACAAGATACTTAATACTATGGGCCTACTAGTTAATATCCTCCGAGTTATGGGATTTACAAATAGATTCTAGATCTAGACTACAGCTACAACAGTGGTCTAGTCTACACTAAGAAAGATGTTACGCCATCTTAGAAATAAATGTTTTCCATATTCCTAACCTACAAGAACCACAGACTACTGGGTATTTCCGATTTCCAAGAAAATCTATTAATATCAAGGAAATTGTGGATGCGCAATGGTTGTATTCACTTACAGTTTCATTTCATTTTGTGACACTGCAGTAAGCCTAAATCAATAATATAGAAATTCAATTTTTTTTTGCTTGAGTCGTATATTATTTTGATCTATTTCTAATTTTATTTAGCCCCCTACCACCAAAACTCTCCACGACATTAAAAAAAAAACCCAACCAATCAGTGTTTCTTCCTGCTAGACTCTTTTTTTTTCTCCGGGGGAGTGGGGCACTTGTTATTTCCGGGGGGGGGGGGGGGGGGTCAACATTTTCCGGGGGGCGGACACTGGTAAAAGTATTTGTTTTCTAAAAAAATTCCATTTCGTTCGGGGGGGGGGGGGGCGGTAGACTTTCTTCGGCTCTGCCCCCTCCTTCCCCCAAAGAGATGCCTGGAAGAAACTGGAACCAATTAATATTAGGGGTCATCCATAAATGACGTCACGCTTTTTTGACGATTTTTACCTCCCCCCCCCCTCCCCTCCGTCACACGTCGTCACAAAAAGCCAGACCCCCCCCCCCCTAAAATGACGTCACACCTCAACCTACAACCCCCTCAAAATTGCAGTTGAATTTTTTTAAAACATCGATATTTTTCCAAAATCTTGTCTAAACTATTACAATTTATTAAAACAGTTATCTAAAACGCGAAATAACGTCTAAAATTAGTTTTCTAACATTGCTTTTTTATAATGCAAAAATGTGACGTCGCAACATCTGAACCCCCCCCCTCCCCCTCATCACACATCGTCACAAAATTACGGACCCCCCTCCCCCCTACGAGTGTGACGTCATTTATGGATGACCCCCTTAGACCTAAAAATTCTATAGGCCTATTTAATTAGGTATTGGCTAAAGTACTAAACCTACTCTACACTAGGGAATTGCACATTGTCTTTCCTCCCTCCTCCCTCTCTCTCTGTATATATATATACATACATATATATATATATATACATATATGTATATATATATATATATATATATATATATATATATATATATATATATATATATATATATATATATATATATATATATACATATATATATATACATATATATATATATATATATATATATATATATATATATATATATATATATATATATATATATATATATATATATATATATATATATATATATATATATATATATATATATATATGTTACGGTCAAAGCCCGAAGTGCGGCCAAAGCGCGGATTGGCCGGCCACTCCGCGCATTGGCCAGCTCTCTTGGCCAAAGCCCGAAGAACTTAGCACTAAGATTGTATTTCGTACATTGGCCGGCCAATGCGCGCACTGGCCGGGACGTACTGGCCAAAGTCCGAAGCGCTCAAACTTGATAGCGTATTTTGTACATTGGCCGGCCAATGCGCGCGCTGGCCGGGATGTCCTGGCCAATGTTCTATCTAGACTAAGTTGTGATCGCATTTTCCTTATTCTGGGTGCGTTTTCATTGAGAGTAACGTATTGCTTAGCTCTTGTTTGTATAGCATTCTATATGCAAGGCGACATAGATCAAAAGGGCCGTCAGACCATGAGACAGACATAGCAGATGGCTGTCAAAAGAAAAAAAAATGTAAATCCATGTTAGTTTCCATATATGGGCTCTCGATAAAATAGTTACTGAGGAAGATCTTGAGAACATTGAACAAGAAATGGAGGTTGCCATAAATGCAACGACATCCTCAGCTAACACATTTACTGCCGTGGCGGAACGCCCAGACCAGTTGCGTGACAATAATGTGACCAACACATTCTATATAGTTTGTGAAAAACATTGTAGTGCAGCTCATTCTTGTGGATCCTGTCGCAACGATGTCCATGCTATTTGTGGAATACCCAATGAAGCAGACGAAGGGTACGGAGGGAACATTACCTGCAGATTGTGTCACAACAAACAAGACATCATGGAACACAGATCAGCAGCTCATACTGGCTTGCAAACATCAAATACAAAATTTAAAGATGGTGAAGTGGGTGACAATGTACGCATCCGTTTTCCAGATGTTGACAGAGGTCACGGTGATCCCCGAAGCGTGATTGCAGTTGTCATGAGCGTCGAGGGCGGTTTCTACAAATTAGGAACGGAACATGGTGTTCTAAAACAACTGTATGCTAGAAGTGAGTTTTCAATTCTTCACGAAAAACTGCTCTTATTGTCGTCAGTTGGCACTGAGGAAAAATCACTACGAACCATCGCATCTTCACAATCATTGACTGGGGGCCAAGGCTACTTTCGCTGCAATTGCACAACTAAGTGCACAACAAATCGCTTCAAGTGTAAAAATAACAAGCTGCTATGTAATTCTAAATGTCATAAAAGTTCAACTTGTTGTAACAAATGATGATATTGATAGATTGAGACTATAGTACAGTAAAAAATTTGAATGTTTCTGTCATTTACTTTAATTAATAATCAATAAAGACTTAATTTCATGATCCTTACGGCATTAAAAAAAATCTGCTCATGATCTTCTAATTCGGACTTTGGCCGGTCGTCCCTAACCAGATGATCTTCTAATTAAGACTTTGGCCGGTCCACCATGGCCAGTCCGCGGACTGGCCGGCCAAAGGACGAAATCCAGAGCTATTTCAGACTTTGGCCATTCCACCATGGCCAGTCTGCGGATTGGCCGGCCAAAGGCCGAAATCAAGCAAAGTTTCGGACTTTGACCGACCTATGGGAGGCGATATTGGCCAATGCGCGGATTGGCCGGCCAATCCTAGCATTGGCCGACTTCGGGCTTTGACCGTAACATATATATATATATATATATATATATATATATATATATATATATATATATATATATATATATATATATATATATATATATATATATATATACAAGATCCGAAGTTTGGATGTCCTGCAAAGGGGTCAGGGATACTTGTTAATTCAAATGTCAAAATGCACTATAGCGCACCCGGCGACGCCCCTGACGATCGGGTGGCCCGGAGCTCCCCGGGCTCCCAAGTGTGCGCTATGACGCTTACATTAGTTTTAAAGAGTTTGACATTCACTATAGATATGATGGGCTACCACAATCGTAGACTAAATCAAACCAGGCCCGTCCCCAGGCACACTGTCTTCTTGTGAGCACTATCATGGCACCTGCATTCGCTTTAAAGAGCACCCTGCAATATGGACACACTGGATCACTACATTCGAAGACTAAACCGAACCAGGGGACGCACCCGGCGCCCATCCGGTTGCGTAACTGGCGGATCTCGAGAGCACCCCTCCCCCCCCCCCCCCCAGACACCAGGGCTGTCGGCTCGGTGGGTTCTAACTCACTATCAAGGAAGGTGATAAACATCCACTCAATGTGCTTATGCCGACGGACCGACCGGCCGGTATATTTGGTTCTGATAAGTAGATTGTTTGTTTGTGAAAGTTGAGATTGATGTCAACCCCCCCCCCCCCCCCCGCCTAATGGCGTCAATTTGTGGATACAGTATATTAATCAATCTATTCATTCAAATACTAAAAAAAACATCGATTTCGTAGTAAATTATTAATTGTGGTGTCACCCTCACCTGTGATCATATACAGAAAATATTCGACAAAATGTTTTTGCTTCTTTAGATTGCAGTTGGAGTCACCTCCTCCCCCTGTGTTTTTGCTATAAACTGTGCGCAGTATATATTTATAGCAACGATGTTACGGGTCAAAAGGCGGCTTATTGATGGGCGTACTTTTTTTTTAATTACACGTTACAATTATGTCTTAAAATAAAGCGGGAGTGATCGCCACTAAACTTTCTCGAATATTCTTATATAATACTACGGGGGATTGCAGCTAGGGATATAGACGTGCTTTTTAGTCGATTTTTACATACTTAAACTTTTTAAAATAGAATAGAATATCCTAGAAAAAAGAATTGCGCGCTAAGTGAACAGCAAACAATGCGTTTATAATAGTGCGGAACATTAGTACTTTATACAATGACATGCGTTTTTTGAGAAATCGGAAATAGCATAAAGTACTACTTCCAGACAAAATTGCAAAGCTCTGTTTTTCCGACTCATTGATGTGTAAAACGTCGAGATTTATGAAAATATCGATTGCGATTTTTTTGCACGATTTTAATACTTTCTCCATATATCGTATACGAGAAAGTGAAAACGCGAAATAACATATGTCTGAAAGAAACCTTGACTAGATGCCTGATGTCATTTAATGGCGACCCGTATATGATAACGCAAAGTACGGTTCAGAGGCGTAGCGACCTTCCCGGCGCCCGGGGACAACCTTCGATTTGCACCCTCCCCTCAAGATTTCAATTTGCACCCCCCTTAACCTTTCAATTTATTTTTCCAACCCATTTTTGCGCCCCCTAAGGTCGGCGCCTGGGGACATATGCCCCCCCCCCCCGCCCCCCCCCCCCCCCTCGCTACGCTACTGGTACGGTTCCTATCCCTACACCGGACCAAAAGTTGTCAAGCTGGTCACACAACGTTCATAGATTTTATATACGCATTCCCCGGTTGATGTCATGTTCCAATCCAATGTGAAATGTAACATTTTAACAGGAAGGAGAACAGTAGCATTTTGAGAGCCAGACAATTTCTCTTCCCATTCGAAAAATATTGATAAAATAGACCCTACAGAATTCTTTTAAAAATTATACTAACCTTTCGTACTAGATTTTACCTAAACACCATCTTGAATATAAAACAAACAGGCCTATCTTCATTGGTTGATTTCAACGTTATGATCTATTTTGTCCCTCACATGTCTCTGTAGAAAATAATGGCAATCGACTAAACAGTTTTCAACCTAACAGCAGGAAAATCTGGCTAATAACTTCCGCTTCGGGGACAAAGTTGCGATAAAAAAAATTTTACGTTTCTATGGGGGTAGAACTAAACAATAACTTCAAGCCCTAAAACCCGGGAGTAAAAAATTCCGTTATTGGTAAACTAAAATAAAAAATCATTTTGTAATATTTTCTCATTTCAATAACCGCATAAAAACTGTACTGCCTTAAATGTTGGGGATAATAATTTAAGTCAATTTGAATTTATTAAGACTAGACTAGATCTAGATTCTACTAGAATTTCTAGATCTAGAATTATAATATTTATTATTAATAAATAATAAATAATAAAATTAATATTAATAATAAAAAAATTATTCTAGATCTAGTCTAGATCTAAATCTATTAAAAGTTTAAAAAGTATAATCAATAATCTTAATCTATAATTTATTTTAGATTTTTTAAGGTCATAGATTAGATTTTAGTTAGATTCTAATTCCATGATAGTGATAGAAAAATAGAAATTATGAAATTTCAAATTAGAATCAATAATCTATCAGTTAGTGAAAATTCGGCCGAGCTAGTTATGTGAAAAAAAGGTGACTCATTAAATTTTAGTAATTATTTCACATTTTTAGGAGGATTTAGATCTATGTTTTGAAAGTTACAAAAATAAACTTTACAAAGATTTCTAAGTCTATGTCTATTATCAATAAAACATCTTTTGATGCAGATTATAGCATATAGAATCTAGATCTTTATGCACTTTTGAAAATATGATTGATATTAATATAACTGATATTGGCTATAAAAAATAACATAACAAAATGTATCCAAAATTGATAACTGTATAATATATAGTATTTGCAATTATTAACTTTTCACTCAGATATTCTATACTTTAAAAAAATCCTAGTCAGGCAATCTTCATCACCTTTGTAAAAAAAAAACCATTAAGATTGTGGTAAAAAATGCAGTCATTGTTGTTGAGTTTTATCAATTAACAATGCAAATGATTTGATTATTTGTAAATAGTTCAAGCATGTTACAGACTAAAATTTTGAAAATAGTAAAAATGCAAATACATGTCAAAATAATAGCAGGTATCTTATACACGGATTTAAAACTTTCTTATAGCAAAATACCCTTATACTGTATATTTTTCAGAGGCATGGAGATTCCATTTTCAGAGAAAGTGTTCTTTATGATAGCTCGCTATGTTAGAGATATTTGCAAGAAACATGTGAAATTTGATGACTTCGTCTCTGCCAGTGGCTTTGTTTGCCTTGATGTGGATGGCAAAACTCAACACAGATTTATATTGAATGAAATTGTTGACAAGACTAATAATGGTGATGGAAATAGTGTTAGTTTGAGTGTAAGTTTAAAATTTACAATCATTCGTTTTAAATTTCACTATATTTTCATTTATTCAGTAACATATTGAAACACATATTACTGCATTGGTGTAGTTTAATAATTTAAATCAACAACACCTAATAAACTTTAAACAAGCCATTTTCACCCAACATAAGTACTGTAGCATTGTGATGTAAAAGTAAAATACATCAGTAATAAAAGGCAATTTAATACTGTAGTCTTATGCCCATAAAAAAAAACAACAATACTTTATAAGTTAAATAAAGATTTGTTTTTATTTGTAAAAAAAACACCAATTGGCTGTTTGATTGTATTTAAAAGAAAAAAGGAATCTGTAGCTGGCAATTTATTTTTGAAAATAGTTGTAAAAATCTAGATTATAGTTTTTTTTAAAAATTCAGCTATTTTAGCTTTTTCCATCTGTTTAGTGCATTTAAAAACTAGTTTATGATGAAATGTTTCTTTAGTAAAATTTTCAGATGTTTGCATCACATGTTTCCTATTGGTACCTCTCTAACCATTGATACTACCTTAGTTATTTTCCTTTGTTATTTTCTTTAGTAATCTTTAAATTGCTAATTTACTGTCAAATTATATTTAAATTATAATCTTCATGTAACATCATCAGAGAAACATTAGTAAGAAATTACTCCATTAAAATTCAATCAAAATAGGGTTATAAGATTTACCTACACCCATCCACGCATAGCTATTGTGACTTAAGAAAAAGCTTGGAATAAAGAGTTTAATATTACCCTTTCATGACTCAATTTATAGCATATGAAATAGTGTTTATCTATAAGTATGACCTTGGTATACAAATTGGTTGTGCTGTATGCAAATGCACTGCTGCTATCTAAAAAGTATTTATTTATTTCTAAGTATTTTAATATATTTTAAGATTTAGCCTTTAACAAAGTTGATGCATTTCATATTATTTTTGTCTGTGCATGTTAGGTATTTCAGTACAATTGTTCTAATTTATCTTGTAACAGGCCATGAACTGGGGGATAGTTAAAAAATTTAGTTCAAGCAAGAAAGAAATGAAAGGCCATTTAAAAAAACCAGCTGCCCTATGTTCACCAGGCAGAGACCAGGAAAACAGTCTAGATGAAGGAGAAACCCAGACTGCTCTCAAGCGTAGGAACTCTTCATTTAACAAACCTACCGAAATGCCTAAAAGTTTAAGTGGCCCAGTCAGTCACCAGACTTTCACTAAGGGCCGCAACAAGATGGTGAATCGCACATTTACTAGAAGCAATATGCCTTTACAAGCTCATAAAGATGTTAGTCCAGGTAGGACTTTTTCAAATTCAACTGTGAATATATCAAAAGCAGATGCTGTTTGCTATAAAGGAATAACACGAAGCCCAACATTTGACTTCAATAAAGAGAAACAAACAGAGTTAGATTCAAGTGGCATTAATAATCACAATGTTCACCAAGACAAACAGAACAATCTTAAAGTCAGAAATAGCAAGCTGGTACCCCAGAAAACCAGGAGTAAGAAAGTAAACTCCTTAGAGCATCATCTAACACATCACTATGTAAAACACTGTGATCAAGAGCTGAGCACTCACAGACAGGCGTGTCAACAAAAACTGTCCAAGCGTGAAGATTCAGACATCAGCATAGGCTCCACCCGGCCCAAATATCTTGTCCAGCACAACGATGAGCTTCTTCTGCCCTGCCCAAAGCTCCGGACTAGTTCTGAATCACTCTCCATCACAGACAGCAATTTCATTCAAAACATAAACCTGAACCAAGCTATTGAGAACCTGGAGGAAGGTACAGTGGTTTCTAGTGCACACATCTCATTCCTTGTCAACTCCATCATCACTGCCATCTCCAGGCCTAGCTCAAGAAATTTTTCTGAGGTAGAAAATGAGATCAGTGAACTGCAGGAAGAAAGAAATGTAGAGGACTATGATAAGATAAGCCCCCCAGATAGTTTAACCAGCAGCGTAGAGATAGAACTGCCAACTCTAGCCAACCAGTCGGAGATAGCCATCCACTCGCTGAGGGGCAAGCAGATTCATCCTACCAAGAAGATTAGCAGCATCAGCAGCATTAGTCAACAGTTGAGCAACACATCTTGTATCTCAAAAAAGAGTGAGTTTTTTTTTTTAATTTAAAATTTTTTTTTCAATAATTTGTACTTCTTTAGTCAAAGCAAAATGTGAAAATGTTATAAAAAATTTTTAATCTTGAATAGTTTATGTAATTAGGGGTCATCCATAAATGACGTCACACTCGTAGGGGGGATGGGGGTCTGTAATTTTGTGACGATGTGTGATAAGGGGTAGGGGGGGTTCAGATGTTGAGACGTCACACTTTTGCATTATAAAAAAGCAATGTTAGAAAACTAATTTTAGAAGTTATTTCGCGTTTTAGATAACTGTTTTAATAAATTGTAATAGTTTAGACAAGATTTTAGAAAAATATCGATGTTTTAAAAAAAATTCAAGGAGGGAGGTAAAAATCGTCAAAAAAAAGCGTGACGTCATTTATGGATGACCCCTTATATCCTTTAACACATTTCACAAGCTTCTCTAATTTTATGTTTGGTTTAAAAATTTTAATTATTAATCTGGTATACATGAAGAAGCGCTGATATTTATTAAGGATTTTTACATTCTATGAAATTTTTTTAAGACCCTACATATACAAAAGGAGATCTTTATTTTATATTTATTATCACTTCCACAGAGTCAAAAGTATTTAAATGGATGAAACTATTTAGAAGAGGTGAAGAGAAGGCAATAAAGCTCTAGCTTTATAAGTGGTAGATTTTTTTTTTTTTTTGCAGTGAATAATTAAGTAATTTATATCTCAAACAATTATAGCTAGTTATTTAACATTTGCAGTTATTGAATAATGTATCCTCATCTCAGTAAAATTTACTGTAGCCTTCTTAATCATTTATTTAAGATTAACATCAAGGATCAACTAGGATCAACATGAAATGCCTTGCGGTAAGAGTGAACATCTATTGATCAAAAGCCACCACAAGACAGAATGATTCATGTGTCGTGAGCTATAAATTGTTGCTTAACTAATTTGAGAATCTGGCATCTTCATTTGGTGGCAGTAGCACATTTATGCTTGATGCTTGAGAGCTTATATTTACAAGAAATGAATATCATGGTGTTATAGAGCTTAGTCTGACATTTTCCATGTTTTATTACCTTGAAGGGAACATTAGAAGTTTAGTTTGTATGAATTATAAATAATGATTCACTGCTGTAATTGAGAGAGTTTTGTATCAGATTATGAAATTTAAGGGGGTAACAATCATCACTTATAAAAGATGTTTGCAGTTATTAAATAATAATGTACCATCTTTGACAAATGAACATCAAAAAAAAAGTCAATAAAATATTTTTTAACTACAAGTTTTCAATCCTTATTTAAATTTTAAAAATGTATGTACATGTATAGGGCCACAATTTTATTTTCTAAGTATGATATTTGAAGTTTGAGACTGTAAAACAGTGTTTCTTCCAGACTTTTTTCTCCGGGGGGGGGGGGGGGGGGGGGGCACTTGAAATTTTCGGGGGGGGGGGGGGCAGACACTGCTAAAAGTATATATTTTCTATATAAATTATATAAATTTCATTTCGTTCGGGGGTGTGGTAATGCCTGGAAGAAACTCTGCTGTAAAATCAAATGTAGAGAGTATAAATACTTGCTGAAACAGTGTTTTGTAAAAAAAAAATTGAGATAATTTTTTAATAAGAAATTATGTGAGATACAACTTTTTTTTTCATGAGTGGAAACAAGTCAGTGCTTTAATTTTATCTACATCAAGAGAATAGATTAAATGATTACCTCATTGGTAATGTAAAAACTAAAATAATGTGTAGCACTTTGGTTTTAAAAGTTTAGCTATGAAGCAAAATAATTTGAAGAAAAAAAAAGAAATTTAAAAAAAATTGCTTTACAATACATATTTTAACAGTTAACAAAGGGATGTTATAACAATGTTGATAGTCTTGAACCCATATAATGTTCCTTAATCAATCCAGGTCAAAATATATGAATTTCACATCCACAAGTGAGACTCTGCCCTTCTAGTCTGGTATTATAACATTTTCCAACACTTAGTTTTTTACCAATATTTAAAATAATTCCATTTAATTTAAAAATTCATCATCCAAGAAAGTCTTAGCTGATGATTTTTTAAAAAAATGTGTCAAATAACATTAACTAATTGATAGAAAAGTAAAGCAGTTTAAAATAGTGAATTAAACAGCAGTGTTTATCAAAACTAAGACCTGTATTTGTAAACAATGTAAATTCAAAAGTTTTCAAAGTAATGGATAAACGAAGGAGTTGTTTTCTGTGCAAGCTGGCTGGATTTGCCTTGTCATAGAAGGTGGGCCACAACTAAAGACACCTATTTGATGGACCTGTAGGAAATGATCAAATATTTCTTTAGATAAAGCTAAACATGAAAATTAGGTACATCTATAAAAATACTAATTCATTTATTATTACCATTCTAAGCAAAAAGCAAAGGTCAAATAAAAAAGTGTTTTTTTTAAGTAAAAGGTTTAATGCAAAATGAGGTTTCCAACGATTTAGGGTTAATAGAATTTTAAAAAAATAAACTTTTCCAAACATTTAGACCAAATATTGAGATTGCTAAATACCTTTATCAGCTTTTTATTAAGTTGTGTTAAGTCAAATTGTTTGGGACACTTACATCTCTATGGACAAATTTGAGAGCCTCAAAGTTGTCTTGAAACTTTGGATGGCCAAAATGTGTTTTTGCTCTAATCCCAGTAAACATACTAAGACCAGCAATTTTGAGTGGATGACTGAGATCATCAGACAAGTTGAGGCTGCAGACACTCAAGGATTTGTTGATGTCCAGATTTGTATCACACAGCTCAAGGAAAAGTTTGACCTTAGGACCACCATGTTGGTGGGTTGACATTTATGGTCACTTAGAGGCCTTTATTAGGCATTATAGTTAACATTCCCTGATAAACTTTCAGCCTTATTACTTTACTATTACTAAAGTGAACAGAGTATAAAACAAGTTAATAGAACACTTAAAATCTAGTTTTTTCAAAGCAATACATTTATTGTAAATTAAATGGTTATTTGATTATCTAATGTTAACATACCTAATATTGTTGATTATTTTGTGCAAAGCATTTTTTTGTTTGCAATAAATATTTTTTCTAGCTCTATTTTTTGTAACTAGTAGTTTATGGTTTTTAATTCTTTTTCCCCTAGTATATATGTGAGCGCCACTTCCAGAAAATTGCTGGTGTGAGTATGTTTACTGGTCTTAGAGCAAAAACACATTTTGGCCGTCCAAAGTTTCAAGACTTTTTTGAAGCCATCAAATTTGTGCATAAAAATGTAAGTGTTCAAAAACTAATATCTTAAACTCATTAATTAGTGTAAATTATAAATAATAAACTCAAAACATATTTGAATATTTCTGAAAAAAAAAAAGTTTTGAGTAACATTTTTTACAGGATTTTCCCAAAACAAGATTTTCTTTTTGAATTCTGTCATGTTTAGTATTTTCCTAAATGTATAAATGTTCCTACAGGTCCACCAGATAGGTGTCTTTAGCTGTGGCCCTCCTTCTATGACAAGAAATGTCCAGCAAGCTTGTGCGGAAAACAACTCCTACACCGGCCCTTCACTGATCCACTACTTTGAAAACTTTTTAAAAAAATTCATAAAAAAACGTTTTAATAACAAGCTTTTATGTACTAAAAAGTAGAAAATAAATTATAGACTACTATACTTATAGTCTATAATTTATTTTCTACTTTTTAGTGCATTAGTACATAAAAGCTTGTTATTAAAACGTTTTTTTATGAATTTTTTACTTTCTCGTATATACAAAGTATAGAGAAAGTATTGTAATCGTGCACAAAAAATCACTTGAAATTTTCACAATTTTCACCGTATTACACCTCAGTCCTTCTTCACATCCGAAGTATAGAGGACTTATTTTAATCGGGCAAAAATTATCAATCCAGATTTATCAAAATTAAGAGGTTTTATGCGTAATCCAGTCTGAAAAACTGGGCTTTGCAATTCTGTCCGTATGTGTGTGTGTGTCCGTGTGTAAACACGATAACTTGAGTACCATTATAGCTAGGTTGATGAAATTTCATATATAAGTATTTTATCAAAATCGTAGATCCGTATCAACTTTTAAGCGATTTCCGATAACCGGAAGTGGTACTTTTCCTACTTTGAATTTTTCAAAAGCCTGTAACTTGAGTACTATTTCAGATAGATAAATGAAATTTCACATGTAAGTGAAAGATCTAATTCTCTACCCTCTGTTAAATTTTGAGTAATTTCCGTTGACCGGAAGTAGTAATTTACGCTACTTCCGATTTCTCAAAAAACTAATGTAAATTTTTAAAGTACTAATAATATTGCGCACTATTATGCACTTTTTTTATTTAGCGTTCGCTTGGTGTGCAATTAATTTGTCTACGAGATTTTATTCTATTTTTAAAACTTTAAGTATTTAAAATGGATTAAAAATCATGTCTATAGCCCGAGTTCCCATTCCCTGTTATTTTATATAAGAATATTCGAGAAAGTTTAGGGGAGATCACTCCCGGTTTATTTTCAGTACTTTACATGTTTTATTTACAATAGTGTTACATGACTAAAAACCATTTCGCGTCTATTGAACGTGATGGCGCAGCTATTGAACCTGATGGCGCAGCTATTGAACGTGATGACGCGTGTGGTGTGGTTGGATAGACATGCCTACTAATTCGGTCCAAATTTTAATTAATTCATAAAAAAATTAATTAGGCATCCAATTAAGTCAAATTTAGTTTCAGATTGCATTGTCTTCATGTCTTGACCCACGTGCCAAGTGTGAATCGTATCGGTGAAGTAGAAGTTTCCGAATTTTCACTCCGGTGTTTCGGTCTAGTGACGACTGACGACAGAGGAAGCAAGTTTAATAAAAGCTTGTTAAAATCTGATTGGTTATGTTTACAAAGTAGGTCTACACTGCAATAGAGATCTGGTTAAAATTTGTTTTTCTTAACACAATTTTGTTAGAATAGGACTTTTTTATTGCTTTTTTTCTTATACTAGCACTTTAATTGTTTACTGTTGTGAATGGACTTAAGTGTATGGAAAGAGTTTGAGAGTAGGTGTGTGGTTGAACGGGTTTAATACAGATATCGCTGGTTTGAGAGTAGGTGTGTGGTTGAACGGGTTTAATAAAGATATAGATGGTTTGAGAGTAGGTGTGTGGTTGAACGGGTTTAATAAAGATATCGCTGGTTTGAGAGTAGGTGTGTGGTTGAACGGGTTTAATAAAGATATCGCTGGTTTGAGAGTAGGTGTGTGGTTGAACGGGTTTAATAAAGATATAGATGGTTTGAGAGTAGGTGTGTGGTTGAACGGGTTTAATAAAGATATCGCTGGTTTGAGAGTAGGTGTGTGGTTGAACGGGTTTAATAAAGATATAGATGGTTTGAGAGTAGGTGTGTGGTTGAACGGGTTTAATAAAGATATCGCTGGTTTGAGAGTAGGTGTGTGGTTGAATGGGGCTAATAAAGTTGTGGATGGTTTGAGAGTATGTGTGTAGCGGTATTAATAAAAGATTATGAATGCGTGAATAAATAAGGATGTGACGTAAGAGAGAATGTTTTGGTTGTTAGGAAGATAGAAGTCAGTCGGAGTCTTGTGCGGATGTCTAGAAGTCGTCGTCCTGTCTATCGTTTATGTAGCTGTTGGTATCGTGTATAATAAAAGATGAAACATCGTATCGTCGTTCTGTGTTCTCTATTGGGTCGTCGTCCTCTATTGTTCGTCATGTTCAGCATTGACCCTGTAGCATCAAACTCACTTTACAACATTTACTACTTTGAAAACTTTAAAAATCTGATTGGTTATAATTTTTATAAAGTTTACTGCAATTATATGTGTTTAAACATAGTTTTTTTTAAACTAAAATTTTGTGCTTGAATTTTACATTTTAATTGCAAGTCCCTTATTCACTTCTTTTAAAACTTTAAATGTTAAAATTTATATTGTTTACAAAATGAGGCCTAGTTTTATATCATGGCTTTAATACATACAGAGTTTCTTCCATGCATCTCTTCGAAATTTTTTTACCGCCCCCCCCCCCCCCCTTGAACGAAATGAAATATATATAATTTATATAGAAAATATATACTTTTAACAGTGTCCGCCCCCCCCCCCCCCCCCCTCCGAAGAAAGTCTACCCCCCCCCCCCCCCGAAAATGTCAAGTCCCCCCCCCCGGAGAAAAAAGTCTGGAAGAAACCCTAAATACATACTTTAATACATACATAATACATAATTTGATCTTATTAAATATTTTATACCTGTACTAATTAATTCCTCAAAAGAAGTAATATTCAGGATTTCTTAAAATAAAAGATTTTTTAAAAATTTTACTATACCTGTTTTGCAAATATTTTATGAATAAAAGAAGTTTGAACTTTTTTTAGGTTATCATGTGTAAGGAAAGTTTAATACCAGATTAAACAGCTAATATTTCAGATGAAAGAGACTTTATATATTGACATAAAACTTTTCCTGCCTTGAGTCAGGAACCTTTGAGAGCTGGATGAATTCAGGAAGATACTGTCAATACTTAGTTCTGTTTTCCAAGTCATCACACTGATTGATTGTAGATATTTCTCAACTGTTTGGATTGTTTGTCACATCCATTTGTTTTGCTTTCTGTTTTAGAATGTTTATTATAAAATAACATTAAACTATAAAATTACCCCCCCCCTAAAAGGACGTCACATCTAAGCCTACCACACCCCCCCCCCTTTCAAAATTGCTGTTCAGTTTATTTTTTCTTAAAACATCGATATTTTTCCAAAATCTTGTTTGAACTACCAACAATGAGTATTTTAATCAATTTCTATTACAATTTAAGAACGGCTATAATACGTTTACTAACATTGTTTTTTTATAATGCAAAATTGTGACGTCACACCACCTGAACCCCCCCCCCCCCCGCCTCTCCCCCCAGTGGCGTAGCTAGGATTTTCGGGCCCCTATGTACAAATTATCAATGGGCCCCTTCGTAACCCGAGTTACCAGTGTTTCTTCCAGACTTTTTTCTCTGGGGGGGGGGGGGGGGTGTGCGGGTGAACTAAAATTTCCGGAGGACGGGACACTATGAACAGTATATACTTTCTATATCAATTCCATTTTGTTCGGGGGGTAAGGGGTAGACTCTCTTCAGGAGAGGAAGGGGGGTGGGGTTCTACCCACCGAAAATGCAAAATTGTTGGGGGGGGGGGAGGAGGAGGTGGGGGGGGGGGGGGGTTACACCTTCAGTAAAAGCTCAGGGAGACAGCCTTCCTTGTGATCACTAACCAAGCACAATTTTAAAAAATGATATCATAATTTATTTAGATTTGATTTCTTTTTCATGCTTTTAAGTTTGCAAAATTTTTAATGAGCTTCTTGAGATCTATTTTAGCTGGTCAAGTTACTGACCCAAAAAGCATATTTACAATTTGTTTCATAACATCATCATAATATGCAAATAAACAGATTTAAAAATCTCATCATAGACACCAAACTCTCAATTATCACCATCGAATGTTAAAAAAGTTTTATACGGAACTGGCATACCCGTCCGAATTGCTGCGACCTATCGGGCAGATGAGGCTCGTTAGTTGGGGACAGCCACTCTTCTAGGAGAGACAACTCCAAAATTAAACAACTGCTGCCTTGTACTTTGTTCTTGGTTGGACAAAGGCTATGGAAGCAAATCCAAAAAGAAAAGCAGGCTGAAATTGGAGTCAATGGCCTAAAAGGCGCATAACCAGTTGACACGTAACGCTTAATTGTGTTGGAGTCGTGGTCGAGTCGGCAAAAAGCTCATGGTTGATAAATTCGAACAAAGTCTCGAGTTAAAAAAAAAAACAACCCACTGGCAGATAAATCTCGATCCCCTTCAACACTAATAATTAAGAACGAAGAAGAAGAAGAGCTGCGACCTAGTCGTACATATAAGGGAGACAGAAGGGAGTTGCAGGTCTCTGGGCGGTGTGTGTGTGTGTGTGTGGGGGGGGGGGGGGGGTTGAGAGCTTCCCACTCAGTTGAGGCTTTTAGCGATACTTGAAAATGTACGGGTGCCGGATGTCGTATCTTACATTCAAATTTTATAGGCTAATTCTCTGAATTGCTTACCAAAACTGCGGCAGCGCTTGTAGTCTTATTATTACGGGGTGGTTCCTTATCGACGCCATCCCCCCCCCCTACACACACACATTCAGCGCCTGTGGTCATCATTAATACGAGTGGGCCATGTACGCCTGTTGTGTTATTAATACGGGTGGGCCCTGTTCGACGCCTCCCCACTCCCACGTTCAGCGCCTGTGGTGTTATTAATACGGGTGGGCCCTATTCGACGCCACCACACCCCGCCACACACACACACACACACTGCCTGTACACTATGAAAGGACTTGGGACTTTTTTGAAATTTTGAATAATTTCTACAGTAAAATAATAAGCAACTTGATTTCCATTTTCTTTTTGAAATTGTTTATATAAAAGAAATATTAAAATTTATTAACTTTTTTTAAAGAACGAAAAGGGCCCCTAAGTGCATTGGGCCCCTATGCCTTGCTTACTCTAGCTTTACGGTAGCTACGCCACTGCCTCCCCCTCGTCACACACCGTCACAAAATTATGGACTCCCCTTTCCCTTCGAGTGTGATATCATTTATGGACGACCCCTCATAACCACTCCCATTAGGCGCGGACGGCCGGGAACGCATATCGTACATCATGTATAAGAAGGTTGATGATCTTTTTTTGGGCGCGAACCCCGGGGTGACATGTTGCTCGATGGCGGTTTAAATTACGGGGAGGGGAAGAAGAGAAATTTGGGCCGTTGCGCCATATTTTTTTGTATCGTAAAGAAGCACTTTTCTAATTCAATTATTCGTACGCAAATACATTATACAGTTGCCTTAAACTTAACACCCCTCTTTCCAAGTGTTACTACCCGTAGAGGTTTTTTAAACATTGCAATGTATCGTAATGGTTATTTTTAGAATGGCAAACTGATGCAGCTGTTAATACGTGTTGTAAACGTAGACACTACTAGACTAGTACAATAATGCTTAATTGATGCATAAAAAGAAATCTTGTGACTTACATAGATGTGCCGACTAAAAATATTTTTTTAATAAATATCATTGTTTAAAACTTTGAGTTTAAAAAGTTTCCAAAAAGGCACCACTTTGCTTCCCACCCCCCCCCCCCTACGTACGCTACTGACCAGCGCTTGTTACATGGCCGTTACACGGCAGCCTGGTAGGGTCATGAAGCTGTCATAGTGTTGGCATCTTTCAGCACGACCTAGTCGAAATTTCTCTCGGTAGTTTCGATCGATGACGAAGCAAGCACGAAAAACAAGACAGAATAAGCAAGTTAAATAAAAGCTTGTATTAAAAGAAGTTTAAAAGGAGAAGGTAAAGAGGTGTAACACGGAGAAAACTTATGATTTTTGTGTATTATTACAAAACTTCTTAAGGGGACAGTATCACCCAGACATTTGAAAATTGGCGAAAAAATGTGCCAAAAAAAACCTATTATACATACACACATAGATTTTTTTTACCATATTAGCAATTATCAAGGAGCTAAAAACAGCACATAAAAGAAAGTTAATTTATGATGCAATCATTTCTTATAAATAACTTTAACAAAAAATTTTTACTAAGTAATTTTTGGCTGCGGTTTTCCAACATTTAGGCCCTCCCTGCTGAAAATACTGTAGGAGATTCATAACAGAGTAGCCTATCGTTGGAACTAGATCTAGAAGATATCAACTGTAACACTTTTTGAATTTTTTAGAATTTTTCAAAGTCAGACGAAAATATTTGAAATTTTCTGAAATTTTTTTTTTTTCGGTTGGCGTTTAATATTGTTCCTCTCTTGCTGCTTTCCCTTCCCAAGGGTTGGCAGCAAGAGTAGGTTTGCATAAAAGTATATATGTGTCTTATACAAAACGTCTATAAAGTGTTATTTTAACCTTGCTTGTCACTTTATTTCCTTTCTGAAGCGTGTTATTGATGATAATTTCTTATGTTT